ATCAGCGAGGAGCACACGGAATGTGCCCACACCCCTGCTGGCTTCAGAGCTGTGCAAATGGAACCGGGGACAAAGGCTCCCCGCGGACCCAATTCCTGAACGGTCATTCACCATCCTTTTAACACTTTAAAGTTATAAAACCCTCTTAAAACTAACCAAGTATAATCTTTAAATCGAGGGTCCTCAAACTGGCAGATCTTCCTCCCCAAGCTGACGTGTGGGCTGGCGGAGAACTTGAGCTGCTTGATTTTGAATTTGGGGAAACTGTTCTCTCTCGGGCAGAGCTCCCCGCCCCTTCTCACCGCCTGGCTCTGTTCCTGCGTCCCTCTGGCCTGCCTGGCCCCTGTAAGCACTTGCAGTTTCCACCCTTGGTTCAGATTACCTGCAGTTTCAGCCAAGAGTCAAGGCCTCAGACCTTCAGCACTGTCCACATTCACTAAGTACCCAAATTCTGGAACCTTTACTGAACCGGGGGAGGGGAGGTGGGGGGGCGGGGGGAGTGTAGCAACCTCTTATTATCATCAGATTAAACAAAAACAACCTTTTATAGGCCTGACAGAATGGATCAGTTGGATGTCTGCCAGCTTTTGGTTTGAGGCAGACAGAGTAGGAATGTATTATTTAACTTGCAGCCCACAAGCAGGAACCTTATTTGTATCTCCCTGAAATGTTTGCTCCTGGGGGAAAAAATATGTAATAAAATAATTGCAGACCCAGTTTATCCAACGTTCGATGGTGTCCGTTCCAAGGGGGACCTCCTCGGGACTGTGACCAGGCTGAGGGGGCCTCTTCCATGGAGCCCCTTAGAAGTCGTGTGCCGGTGGGAGCCGGCACACAGCCACTCTGCCCGTTTTGCATTGCAGGGCGGTGCCATCGCCATCCTCACGGCCGCGGAGAGGCCAAGCCACTTCTCTGGCATGGTTCTCATTTCACCTTTGGTTCTGGCCAGTCCTGAGTCCGCAACGACTTTCAAGGTAAATGGATTTCTGTTTCTGTGAAACGTTTGCCCTTCCTTGGAAACTCCTGTAGCTGGAGTCGGGGGTAAAGGGCGGAAGTCCATTGGGACAACGATCAAACATGATTGCCACCAGGGTTCTGTAATTTTCATAATCGGGTGCTTCCCACCCCCGACCCCCAAAGACAAAGGGAAAATGACTTCCTATCTATGTACGTTTTATTAGTGAATGTTGAAAGGAGAAAAGACGACGTGTGTTAGGAATCCAGCGAAATAACCTGTGTTGACAAGTCACACACCAGGTGTTTGCTGACTTCAGCCGAAAGTGCACAGCAAGTGGACATGCAGGCTATTTGTCATTGCAACATAGGGTGTTGGTCACCTTAGCCCTCCCCCATCCCAGAGCACTCTCCCCCTGATTCTAACCCAGCTGTCATGCCGTTTTTCTGGTTATAATGTTACGTAATGGCACATAGGTACTCTTGGTTCTGGGGCTTTGAGCCTCGAGGCAAACAAGCCAATAAGACTACTGCCAGAAGCAGAGCAGGTGCCTTCCTCCCTGAGAAGGGAGAGGAGCAGGGCTGCTAATTGCGACTGTGGGTTGTTGACATGTGATGGACCTGCCCTTGAGGGGCATGAAGTTTGAGAGAGAGAATAACCTAACGAGAGTAGAGAACCCCCAACCTGTGTGTCTCCAAGGAATGCTCCATCTCACCTCAGTGCTAGGTGGCACTGCTGCCTCCTGAGCCAGTGCCTGGGACTCTCAAAGGCACGAAGGGTGAGGCGGTGGGTCACAGGGCCAGGGGGAACTGGGCAGACATTAGCCTCTGTGCTTACCCTACTTTCCCTGGCCTCCCCATCAAATGACAGCAGGATCGTTTAAATCATTGCCTTAGCTCAGACGCCTTTGATATTCTCCTGAGGACCCCAAACCGAGGAACACAGGACAGGGAGTGAAACCTTGTCAAAATGTTCTCAAACGTTTCCTGCAGCCCACAGCCACAGACTTAATCCCTAGACATGGGCTGGCAGGTCCTGTGTCCCGGCTTTCAGTTAGGTACCGAAATGTCACCGATTTCAATGAGAACAGGTTGAGCAAACGATAAATCTGGAATCATCTGATACTTTAGCCAGAGAACAACAATTTACTTAATTTGAGGAAGAGGAGAGAGGGCTAGCTCTTTTGAACTTGGCTCGGTTTTAAGGAAATCACCACCGCCTTACTGAAATCGACTAGCAATAGTACATTTTAGTGCCGTGTGGACAGCAGTGGAGGCGGGATCCGCGTGTCTGCCATGGAAAAAAACAAGGTCGTCCACAGAATCACAGGTGGCCATCTAAGTGTGCAAAAGGGGACACCATCTCCTGGACTCCTCCCACCGTGACTATGCAGAATGTGAGCCACATCAGTCAAGGGCTCTTGCCCAAGTAGAATAAGCAAGACCAGGGTCACAGAGGAGAGGGAAGTTCCCTCTGCCGTCCATGTGCTGGGAGTCAGCTGCCTGAGGCTTACTCCGCTCAGTGAGTGCCAGGCATGTGCTGTACTTTTACCTGCATTATCTCACTTCACTCCCGTCATCAGCCCAGGGAGAGGTCACGACCTTCACGTGCTGGATGGAACACTGAGGCTTAGGCTGGATGAGTGACTCTCCAAGATTACACAACTTGTGTGGTGGATTTGAATCCAGGGCTGTATTCTCCTCGTCTAGGGTGTTTCCCCATCAGAGAAAGTCTACACTGGACGCTTCTCCTTAGAGAAAAGCCAGGGGCTGTGGGGCTTTTCAGATGATGCACGCAAAGGTCATGGCAGCTGAGCCCTGAGATGGAGCCGGCAAGGTTTCCTCCCAGAGTCACTGGTGGAGGCGGAATTTCTGGGCAAGGCTACAAGAACATGACCTTTCAGAGCCCTGTGCTAATAGATCACCTCCTCAGATCAAGGGCCAGCTGTCCCTGGAGGGGTGCAGGTCCTGTTGACAAATAGATTTCCTGTTGCTCTCAGACCTGAGGGCACGTCCTCCCCACCGTGGATTCTGTTGCTGCCTCTGGCTCTTGGGCAGTTTTGACTGATAGAATCTTTGATTCATCTGTCCACCCACCCCAGATGACTTATCACCCTGCACACATCTGGTCCTCTCTGACAACCTTCCAGAAAGAGTCTCATTGAATCTTCTTTTAAATTTAATTTTTTTTAAAGTTTTGTATAATACATTTACATGAGGGGAGGCTCCCTTCCTAGTTTGAAGGTGGGCAGCCAGAACTACAGAGGGAGTGGATGCATCTTCTGTGGGCACACATACATACTCCATTTGCTCCTGTTTTACACAAATGGAACGTGCTCCCTGCACTTTTTTGTTTCATTGTTCTCTCTTGGTTGACTGATTTGTTTTTGTGAGTTTTGGGTTGAATTTGTCTACTTTGCAGACAAAGTGCTCCTCCCCATCAGAATAGCAAGAAGCCCACTGTGAGGTGAGCTCTGGATTAGGGGAGGCCCTGCTGAGGGGTGAGCCTTGTATTAGGGGAGGCCCTGCTGAGGGGTGAGCCTTGTATTAGGGAAGGCCCTGCTGAGGGCTGAGCTCTGGATTAGGGGAGGCCCTGCTGAGGGGTGAGCTCTGGATTAGGGGAGGCCCTGCTGAGGGGTGAGCTCTGGATTAGGGGAGGCCCTGCTGAGGGGTGAGCCTTGTATTAGGGGAGGCCCTGCTGAGGGGAGAGCCTTGTATTAGGGGAGGCCCTGCTGAGGGGAGAGCCTTGTATTAGGGGAGGCTCTGCTGAGGGGTGAGCCTTGTATTAGGGGAGGCCCTGCTGAGGGGTGAGCCTTGGATTAGTTGAAGCCCTACTGTGGGATGGGCTGTGGATTAGGTGATGCCCCGCTGACCAAACTTTGGGCCATTTATTTGCAGTGGTTTGCTCTTATGGGTCCAAGGGTGGACAGATTGCTGTAGACCATCTCTTGCTTAGAAAACGAAGGCTCAGGGGGACCTTTCTGAGGGTCAGTGGCACCGTCAGGGGCCACAGAATGCAGAGCCTCATGACTCCTCGTGGCCTCATGACTCCTCACCCAGAGCTCAGCTGAGGACTTTTCCAAGGTTTGTTTCATGGCCCAGAGTTCCTGCTATAGAGATTCTTGAAATCATTAAAGCAGGCAGCATGAGATCTCAGACTTCTCAGTACAGAGGGTCATGTAAAAGGTGGCATAAGACTGTTGACATAAGAAATGTCTAAACCTGAAGAGAATTTCTATGAATTTATTGGAACCAAACTGATGACATATGCTGGGGCATAAAATGTCAAATGCTCCGGAGAATAGCAGTTTTGCCGTTTCTTTTATGCATTTGAAATTAAAGAAGGAACCTAAGGAATATTACATGGAGGTCGGAGAAAGCAAGGCGAGGATCAGATTACAGGATCAGATTTGCTGTCTTGGTGGTTTATCTGAGAAGGAGGGATGTGAAAGGGGGCATTTCAAAGGTGTGTTAACCTAGATGCACAGAAACAATGGACAAGCACTTGCTTAAAGCAAAGCCTTTTAGTGAAGAAGGTATATGCCTGGGGAGTGACTACCCACCATGATCTGTCCAGTTAGGAATTTATAAGATCACCATGCGAGGTTACTCTCCATAGAACGCCTTTTTTGTCACATCCCCTACCCTGAAATGTGAGAATCCCAGCTATCTCTTCCCTGCCCCTACACGCCCCCCGCCCCCCCCCCC